AGTGTCTGATTAGCGCCGGACAATGTGCACAAAACAACAAAAATGGCGCCGGCAAAGCTTGTGGGTCGTTTTCAGCAAATGTCGGTGATTTTAAAGTCATTTTGAGTGATAAATTATTATTATTATTATTTTTTGCGATCATTGCACTTGCCTGGCGGGCAAATGCAATTAAATTTGTACTCACCCGACAATAAAAACTACTTGCCCCGGGCGATCAGGCAATGGTTAACATCGAGCCCTGTGTGAGGAGATTTTAATTCATAATTCACTGAAATCCTTTCACAGCTCTATAGTAATGGTTCAGAGAGGATAATCTCTAGCTATATTGAGAAAAAATCTCTATATCTATATTTTAATAAATTCCTATTAACATATTATAGCTCAATAGCTAATGTGATCAAATTATTACTCAAAATCGTTGTTAGATAATGGCATTCCAAAGGGTAAAAAGGTTAGACTATTAATTTCTGCAAATTAAATCTTGAATTATTTTTTAATTTTTATATGAAAATATTAACATTGTTGCTCAATAGTTTCCAGAACATGTGATCAATTGACTTAATATCAGTGTTGGATCAAATCACTCCACTGGCTTCAAGATTTATGCCTTTTAATTTTACATTTCAAGTCTCTTAATAGCTTTTAGATATATAGGATAAATATCAATATTGATAGCTTCTCCGCTTTAAAATCCAGGCCTACACTTTTATTTTGAAAACAGGAAGTTGGTACACTTTGTGGTCGTTGGCGCTTGTTGCTTCAAAAGTCGAGATAAAGTAGTACATATCGTCTGGCATCATTATTTTGTGGATTTTTTTAGTGTTTGGGGTGGAGAGTTCAGTAAGATATATTACATATTATGCCTTAGAGTTGAATAAAGCAATTTCATCCAGAAAATACACTGCAGGTCAAAAAATAAGTTTAAATCACTTTTAGGAAAGAAAAATAGTCATATTCTGTGGATTTTGTGGATTATTTCAGTGCTGGGGGCTGAGTTCAGCAGAATATATTTAATATTATAAAATATTAATTAATATAATAATAATATGATTTAATATAATAAATATCATATACAATATAATTATTATTATATTATAATAAAATAATTAATATTCATCTAATAATTCTTCATCACTCTTTGGTGAATTACGGTTTCCCATTTTCTCTATTCAGGGAATTTCTTTAGTATGAGAAGTTCAAATCATGATTAATAAACTTTGATTCTTCCTTGAAATTTGGCATTTCACACTATCTGTACTTACATTTTTAATTGAGTAAAAATATCACCATGAAACACAAAATATGACAAACATTTTATTTTGAATAATTTACTGAGTTACATCCTTCACAGTACAGTAACGAGACAGAATAGTTTTAAATGGAATCAAATGTAGTGCAGAAACATCTTTCATAGTTGACTTTTATTGCTAAAGTCTGTGTAGAATTTGCAGATGTTCATGAGGAATGCAAAATGAAGCCTTGGATGAGGAGCAGAAAGGTAAATAAGACACATCTGCTGTAACCTTGGTCATAGAAATATAACTGGTTTACTGGTGTTAATAGTGTTTGATTTCGAAATCTAAAATACAGAGAAAGAAACTTGAAACAACACAGGCAGGCTGGGCTCACTAAACATGGAAACAAGTCCCTCTTCTTGCTGCTCTGTGGGAACGCGCCCGATCTTAGCCAATCAGTTTTTAACAGACAATCACTTTTTGGCACAACAGCATCCAGCGAGCCACCATGAGAGCTCTATCATGGATATAGATATCAATGGTTTCTGATGCTTAGATTCCAACATGGAGGCTGTTCTCATCCCTGATTAGATCTTGGTGTCTTTTTCTGACCTCACTGTGGAAACCAAGCTGAAGCTGGCTTCAGGTTCAGCTAACAACTAAAGGGCTATTCCACCTCTTTTCTCACCACCTTAAGTGTCTTTAATCTGTTCTAATTTAAAAACTACAACACTCAGACACCTGAACCTGGATTAGATTATTCCAAGCTAACAGCAGAATCTTTCAAACCCTCTTTGGGATTTATGAAAGCTGTATCTGCTTTGTGAAACTTCAACAAAGAGCCCTAGAAGGTGTTTTGTTGCATCTCGCCCACATTATATCCAGTGTTGTAGATCAGCTGGTGGTGGCAGCTGGAATATGCAGATGTCTCTGTGTCTTTCAGGACCCCTTCACAGAACCTGGAAATACACAATCTGTGTTCAACTTTAAGAACTGTTAGAGTGATAACTATCCTGTGATTCAACCAGAAGGGTCATAAACTTTTATGAAGTCCAGTAGGTCATGAGGCAGAATCACACGGTTGTGTGACTTCTTATTACCTGCATCCTCCCAGATAATCATTACTGGGTCTTCTGTTTTAGGCCCGCCTTATGATGTTGTAAACTGTTAATAAAAGGCTTTGCCATGAAGGGATCTGTGCGAGAAGGTGCTGGTTTCTGAGCCGACACCTTCTCTCCGCTTCTGCAGAGGCTGACGTCAAAAAATCCTGTCTCTGTGTTGATTATTTCCTTTTAATCTTTTAAACTCACATTTCTCTGGATTAATAAACCCAACAAGTGCGATGAATAATTCTGATCTACACTCTGATGGCAACACGTCCATTTGATTACAGTTTGTTTCAATAATCCCTGCCAACCGCTAACATAAGGAACAACTGGCTTCATCATTTCTCTATAGGGCTTGGTCGTCATGACGTAAGCACTTTGCATCGCCGCCATCTTGACGGCCTCTTTTACCGCGGCTCAGACTACTGCCTATGACTACCGCATACTGTACTCCTTCTCAGCTTGATTAATTTCACCTTAACTTGATTTCAACCATGGTAAACCGTTGCTGTATTGTGGGTTGTAACAGCTCAACACATGATCGCCATGGGAAAAACATAGTAAATGGGTTAACTTTCCACCGCTTTCCTGCCTGGAGGCGTAACCATGGAGACCAAGCGTCAGAGATAAAGAGTCGTCGGCTAGCTTGGATCGCGGCTGTAGGACGACCGAACATAACTTTCCACAGTATTCCAATGTCATTGAGAGTGTGTTCCCTGCATTTTCATTCTGGTAAGTTAAAGATGCACGGTTTTATTTTATAGCCTACTTTGTTTCTTTCCTTCAAAGTTGGGATCTTTTACGGGAAAATAATAAAAACGGCAGCGGGAAAAGGCTCAAATACGTGAGAAACCCGGAGGGTTGGCAGTTAACGTTACTAACTACACCTTTGAAACACATAGCAGCTAGTTAAAAGTACATTACATGCGTGAGTGGTTGTTAGCATTAGCGGTTAGCAGTTGCTAAACTAGCTTTTTTCTCTTTACTTCTACGTGTCTTCTTTCAACAACAACGTTGTATCACAGCTATGTTTACGTTTGCGTAGCCGTCAATATGACCGCAATTTCCCACGATGCAACGTGGATCCCGAGCCCTATTGTCATCCTGGATGATATCTAAAAGCTTTTAGACTAAAACAGTCCCGCTTTGTTTGGATGTGGATTAGTGGTTTAGTAGTAGTGGATTCGTTTTTACTCTTGGTTTCAGTATGAAGCAGAAATAAACTGGGGAGGGAAAAGATGAAACTGGTGTTTGGTGATTGAAGTCAACATAGTTTGTGTAGAATAACATGGTGACATGAAGAAAGGGCAGAATGCTGCAGCTGCTGTGTGTCTACAGCAGGGGTCTCAAACTGGTTCCAGAAAGGGTTATTCTAAAACTGTTAATATATTTTTATTTCTTTAATATCAGCGACACGTGAGCATTTTTATATTAAATGAAGAACTACTGAAATTATTTTTAGATTACACATAAATGGATTCATCAATTCTGGGGCTTCAGTGAAACCAACCTACTGAGTCTACTGGCACAATCCGAAGCCATTCCATAGGACTGATAACCGCCAATAACGGCCATTTATTGGGATGATAACATCCGAAGCGGCTGCAAGCAAACACTTAGTATTTACTGTGTAATAGGAGACAGAATCCAACTTAGGAGGAACCCATGAGATGGTGAACAGGTCCTACCTGTTACGATAATGTTTTTAGACTTCATCTTCACCTGCTGAAGATTCTATTAGATCCTATTAGAAAGAATCCTATTATAGTGATATAGTGATCACTGACTAAAAATGGTAGTTGGTTCCACAGCAGAGGATCCTGATAACTAAAAGATCTGCCTCCCATTCTACTTTTAGAAATTCTATGAGCCTCTAGTAAACCTGCAGATTGAGAGCGAAGTGCTCTGTTAGGAACGTAAGGAACAATCATATCACTTATATCAGATGGATCCTGGTTAATTAGAGCTTTATATGATATATGGAGCATTTTAAATTCTTAAAAAGAAGTAAATGAAGAGAAGCTAGAATAGGAGAGATATGGTGTCTGTTTTTAATTTTCATCAGCACTCTGCAGCATTTTGGATCAGCTGAAGGATTTTTACTAGTTTGTGGACTTCCTGACTGTAAAGAATTACAATAGTCAATCATTGAAGTAACAATTGCATGGACTAATTTCTCAGCATCACCCCTGGACAGGATATTTCTCTGAAGATAAAAGAAGGAAATTCTAGAAACCTCTATTATATGGGATTAAAATGGCAGCTCCTGCTCAACCTCTGACACATTGAGCTGTGGTATGTCTCTTCCAGGCAGAGGTGTACAGGAAGCACTGTTGAGTTTAGGGTGTCTCATTACTTCCTCATTTGCCAGACAGTCACTGTGGTGTTGGATGTAAATGCTTTACTTTCCTTAATAATTGTTTGTGGGGAAATAAATTTAGGCCAGAATAAACTTCATATCTTCAGGTTGCTTGATAGGATCCACTCGCTCCTCAACCTCAAGGAGAGAGTTTGTTGCTTTTATGTGAGGTGTCCTTTATTTAACCACCAATAGAACGCCGTTTTGCTGTGTTTGTCTTTCCAGACCGCCTGCAGGATTATGATGGAAAAGAGGAGGATTTCTCCGACCATCAGCTCTGTGGACAGGAGAGGAAATCCAGTTTGGACCAAGAGGAGTCGGAACATCCGCAGATAAAAGAAGAGCATCAAAAGCCAGAACATCCCTGGATAAAAGAGGAAACCATGGAGCTCCCCATAAGTGAGCAGAAAGAGCAGCTTGTTCTGAAGCAGAATATTAAAGATACAAGAGAGAAACATTTCCCATGTTTGACATGTGGAGAAAACTTTCTTAAAAAAAGGCATTTAATGATTCACATGAAAACTCACACAGGTCAGAAGTTTTATTGTCTGTCCTGTGGAAAATCTTTCACAAAGAAATCTAGACTTGATACACACATCAGAATTCACACAGGTGAGAAGCCTTTTTCCTGTACCATTTGTAACAATAAATTTATTCAAAAGAGTAATTTGACTACTCACATGAGAATTCACACTGGTGAGAAGCCTTTTGAATGTCTGTCCTGTGGAAAAAGCTTTACTCATAAATCTCATCTTGATACACACATCAGAATTCACACAGGTGAGAAGCCTTTTTCCTGTACCATTTGTAACAATAAATTTATTCAAAAGAGTAATTTGACTACTCACATGAGAACTCACACAGGTGAGAAGCCTTTTGAATGTCTGTCCTGTGGAAAAATCTTTACTCAGAAATCTGATCTTGATAAACACATCAGAACTCACACATGTGAGAAGCCTTTTGAATGTCTGTCCTGTGGAAAAATCTTTACTCGGAAATCTGATCTTGATAAACACATCAGAACTCACACATGTGAGAAGCCTTTTGAATGTCTGTCCTGTGGAAAAATCTTTACTCGGAAATCTGATCTTGATACACACATCAGAATTCACACATGTGAGAAGCCTTTTGAATGTCTGTCCTGTGGAAAAATCTTTACTCAGAAATCTGATCTTGATAAACACATCAGAACTCACACATGTGAGAAGCCTTTTGAATGTCTGTCCTGTGGAAAAATCTTTACTCGGAAATCTGATCTTGATACACACATCAGAATTCACACAGGTGTGAAGCCTTTTGAATGTCTGTCCTGTGGAAAAAGCTTTACTCATAAATCTCATCTTAATAAACACGTCAGAGTTCACACTGGTGAGAAGCCTTTTTCCTGTACCATTTGTTACAATAAATTTAATCAAAAGAGTCATTTGACTACTCACATGAGAATTCACACAGGTGAGAAGCCTTTTGAATGTCTGTCCTGTGGAAAAAGCTTCACTCACAAATCCTATCTTGATAGACACATCAGAATTCACACTGGTGAGAAGCCTTTTTCCTGTACCATTTGCAACAATAAATTTAATCGAAAGTGGAGTTTGACTACTCACATGAGAATTCACACTGGTGAGAAGCCTTTTGAATGTCTGTCCTGTGGAAAAAGCTTTACTCATAAATCTCATCTTGATACACACATCAGAATTCACACTGGTGAGAAGCCTTTTTCCTGTACCATTTGTTACAATAAATTTAATCAAAAGAGTCATTTGACTACTCACATGAGAACTCACACAGGTGAGAAGCCTTTTGAATGTCTGTCCTGTGGAAAAATCTTTACTCAGAAATCTGATCTTGATAAACACATCAGAACTCACACATGTGAGAAGCCTTTTGAATGTCTGTCCTGTGGAAAAATCTTTACTCGGAAATCTGATCTTGATACTCACATCAGAATTCACACATGTGAGAAGCCTTTTGAATGTCTGTCCTGTGGAAAAATCTTTACTCAGAAATCTGATCTTGATAAACACATCAGAACTCACACATGTGAGAAGCCTTTTGAATGTCTGTCCTGTGGAAAAATCTTTACTCAGAAATCTAGTCTTGATAGACACATCAGAATTCATACTCGTGTGAAGCCTTTTGAATAAGTCACAGCAGTTAAATTCCACAGGAATGAACAGTAGAGGTGTTTACCATGTTTGACTGGTGATAGAATGTCCATCTCGAAGCTCTTTGACCTCATTACATGAGAAACTCACTGGTTAATGTCCTTTTTTTTTAGGACAGTTTTGAGAAAGCCAATTAATTGACAACTCTGTTTACATAGAAACCAGAACAGATAATTTTCCTTTGAACTAATTCTAATAGTTTTGTTCTTGATTCTGTAGATGTTCTATTTACCTGTTATCATTGAAAGTAACTATCACCTATTTTATACAACTGATTTTATGGATTATATTCTGCTGTGGATGTTTTTAATTATTGTAATCGCTTCTAAATTGATGAACGAGCAGCAATAAAACCTCATGGATTGTAAAAATGTGTTTCTTTATGATTTAAAATAAATTACAATCTTTTTCCATGTTTTCTGATATTTTCAGCCAAACTAAAGCTGTAAAATAAATAGTTTAATGGCATTCAGCTTCTGTCTTCTCCAGTCTTTCCTGTTGCTCCTCTGTCAGCATTAATCTTTTTGCTTTTTAGAGCCTGAGTGTGTTCAAATCTGGCCATTGGATAAATCCTCCTTTGCTTGTTGGAGAACTTAGATTAGGAAATAATGTAGGTACGTATTCTGGCCCAGTTTGTTTGGCACCTGATAAAACAAGTGTTTCAGTTGCTATAACTGTGTGTGTCCAGAGCCGCTACAACCAAGCAACTAGAGGAATGAAGGATCTAACTATGGCTATGTTCACAATGCAGCCTGAAGGGACCCTAATCTGATTTGATTTGATTTTTTTTGTTTTTTTATTGCCAATATGTAATCTGTACCTGATCTTTTCATGACAGTCTGAACAATAAAAATCTGATTTTGCAACAATAGTTCTGGACCATTTATAGAAAAAGTGACAGTGTTAGAGGTGTTTGATGAACAACTTGTACAACACAATTTGTGTAGTTGTACACAAAAATGAAAAATAACTACCTGTTTTTTTTCTATTATTCTACAATTCCAAACTTATAATATAACTCTCTCTGCAACTTCAAATTCACACTCACCCCTTCATAGCAAGACTCCTCACGTTGCAGCTTTTTCCTGACAGCGTGAGCAGGTTAATATCTGTCTGCATACAGCGCCGTAATTATTACCAATCACATGTGGTCCCTAGGAGGTAAAACTAAAATGCAAGTCTAAATAAACCTCACCATTAAGCCTCAGTTTTTGTTTCTGCTGTTTTTCAATATGAAAGCAATCTGAAGAGTTCTCAGCCTCCTGGATCCAACAAGCCCTGTAGCAAATGAAGGTCCCCTGAACTTTGTCTAGAAAGAAGTTATCTAATTGAGATTTTAATTCCTCAAGTTGAAGCTGCTCCTCAGATGATAGAATTGATTTCCTACATAATTGTTGATATAGATCAGTTGTGGTTGTTTATTTGCCTCAATTTTATAAACCAGTTTACTAATCCTGAGTGCAACTTTCTTAGCACTAAATGTGAGCTATTCCTATTACCTCAAAGGTGAAAGTTCCATCAATGAAATATTCTGAATGAGGTTACTAATTTCTGTGCAGAAATCCCTATTATGCCAGAGGTTAGTTCAATTACCAAATAAAGGATGATGGTGATTCACATTTAGTCAAAGAGAGAATAAAAGTAACAGCAATGATCAGTTAAAGGGGATGGTGATATTTTACCACACAATATTATAAATCATGGAAGGAATCAACCAATAGTCTACTTGAGGAATTTAATCAGGTGTTTTGTCTCAGATTCCTTGATCTTTAACAATCAGATTAAAACTGGAGAATAAAAATATCCTCAACTAGAGGATGCTGCCATTGAGAGGGAAAACGATCAGTGAATCCATCTGGAGCTACAATAATCTCCCCTCCAATGAGAACCTGTTCAGTGAAGTATTTAAGCTTCCACTGCTCTATTTCCTTTAAGTTGAATTTGTTATTTGTTAAACACAGTCCCTCGAAATATTAATAGGCTACAATATAATGATTATTTTTGAAGTCTTACTCTTTATTTTATAAAATCCTTGTACATTTAAGATAGAAGTGGCTGCAGTACCCTGAGGCAATGCCTTCACTATAAAACCCCCTTAACTCTCCTCGCCTTCCTCATCCCCGGAAACCTGGACCGGATGAAACGGTGGCGATACTCAGCTCTACACTCTGAAAATAATTTTCCCCAGTCAAGAACATCTACAATTTCAATAGGTTTTAATGTGTGTATATGATCCAAATCCTACCTCTCCTGAATAGGGCTTGGTCGTCATGACGTAAGCACTTTGCGTTGCCGCCATATTGACGGCCTCTTTTACCGCGGCTCAGACTACTGCCTATGACTACCGCATACTGTACTCCTTCTCAGCCTGATTAATTTCACCTTAACTTGATTTCAACCATGGTAAACCGTTGCTGTATTGTGGGTTGTAACAGCTCAACACATGACCGCCATGGGAAAAACATATAAAATGGGTTAACTTTCCACCGCTTTCCTGCCTGGAGGCGTAACCATGGAGACAAAGCGTCAGAGATAAAGAGTCGTCGGCTAGCTTGGATCGCGGCTGTAATACGACCGAACATAACTTTCCACAGTATTCCAATGTCATTGAGAGTGTGTTCCCTGCATTTTCATTCTGGTAAGTTAAAGATGCACGGTTTTATTTTATGGCCTACTTTGTTTCTTTCCTTCAAAGTTGGGATCTTTTACGGGAAAATAATAAAAACGGCAGCGGGAAAAGGCTCAAATACGTGAGAAACCCAGAGGGTTGGCAGTTAAGGTTACTAACTACACCTTTGAAACACATAGCAGGTAGTTAAAAGTACATTACATGCGTGAGTGGTTGTTAGCATTAGCGGTTAGCAGTTGCTAAACTAGTAGGTTCCAGAGCCCGTCTGATCACAGCTTACCTTCGTACGGATTACTGTGTTCCCACTGTTTGCTGGCTTTATGATCTGCAGGTCCTGAACCCATCCATTCATGAACTGCATATGAGACTCCAAGGACTTGTAGCTTCGGAACTGTTTTGAAGTATAGGCGCTCACTCATCGGTGCTCCACTCATTGTTTGGAACTTCATATGGATCCAAATTATTAAGAATGCTGATTTTGTCAACATACCGGTCCGTGGCTTCTCTATTTAATGTGTCCTGGTAAATTCCAGATCTTTTTCGAGATTTTGACATCTTTTTTCTCTCTACTTCTATGTCTCTTCTTTCAACAACAACATTGTATCAGAGCTATGTTTACGTTTGCGTAGCCGTCAATATGACCGCGACGTCCCACAATGCAACGTGGATCCCGAGCCCTATAATCTGTATAAGCTTTGATACAGCTCTATAAGCTTTATCAAAAAGGAAAGTTTTAAGCCTAGTCTTAAAAGTAGACAGGGTGTCTGCCTCACGGACTAAAATTGGTAGTTGGTTCCACAGGAGAGGAGCCTGATAACTAAAAGATCTGCCTCCCATTCTACTTTTAGAAATTCTAGGAACCACTAGTAAACCTGCAGATTGAGAGCGAAGTGCTCTGTTAGGAACATAAGGAACAATCAGATCTCTGATATCAGATGGAGCTTGGCCATTTAAGGCTTTATAAGTGAGAAGGAGGATTTTAAATCCTATTCTGGATTTAACAGGAAGCCAATGAAGAGAAGCCAGGATAGGAGAGATGTGAGCTCTCTTTTTAATTTTCATCAGAACTCTGGCTGCAGCATTTTGGATCAGCTGAAAGCTTTTAACTACAGTTTGTGGACTTCCTGATAGTAAAGAATTACAATAGTCCATCCTTGAAGTAACAAATCCATGGACTAGTTTCTCAGCATCACCCCTGGACAGGAGATTTCTAATTTTTGCAATGTTCCTCAGATGAAAGAAGGAAATTCTAGAAACCTCTTTGATATGGGATTTAAATGACAGGTCCTGATCAAAAATAACACCAAGATTTTTTACTTTATTATCTGAAATCAGTTTAATCCCATCCAAATGAAGTGAGTGGCTAATCAGCTTCTTTTTCAGAGACTCTGGTCCAAAGACTATAACTTCTGTTTTGTCTGCATTCAGAAGCAGAAAGTTAAGAGTCATCCAGGTTTTTATGTCTTCAAGACATGCCTGTAATCTATGTAATGGGTTAGCTTCATCTGGATTTATAGACAGATATAGCTGGGTATCATCAGCAAAACAGTGAACATTAGTGAAAATTGGTCCTAGCACTGATCCCTGTGGTACTCCACAGGTAACCTTTGAGCATGTTGAAGATCTATCATTAACATGAACAAACTGAATTCGATGAGATCAAACGATCAACTGTTGCTCACTGTTCCTTTTGCCCACAGAGATGACATTTGCATGTGCCGCAGAAAGTAGATGTCACAAAATTAAAGCTACAGTGTGTAATAATTACAGGGATATATAGTCAGAAATGCAATATATCATACATAACTATGTTATTTATCATCATCTACGAGCTCAGCCTCTTAACCTTAATATTTGCGTTGCCTTAGAATTCGTTAGTTAGTTTGTTGCGCAGAGCCAACAATTTAGCGATTGCAAGATCGCCCATTACGCTCGAAAGTAACTACGGCAAGTTGAGAGAGATGAACTGAGACGGTACTGAAATCTATACCCTACACAGACTAATGAAATACTATCTGTAAAAATATTGATGTAAACAAACCTCATCACTTGAGAGGGTAGGTGATGCGGACGTCGTGGAAGACATTTTGTCCTGTAACCCTCGCCGTACTGTTGGGGGGGAGAAGCGTTGGGGGGGAGATGTTCATGTTGCTGCGGTCTGCAGTCTGGACGTTAGATGTCCCTGAAAATTACACACTGTAGCTTTAAGTATTGTTCTCTGAATTCATAATTTGAGCAGAGTCTATACGTCCTGTCATACAAAGGGTTGTGGTAACTGTATTGCTCCTAGAGGGAGATAAGAAGTTCAGGAGGTCCCTTCACTGACTCCTCCAAGTTCACACCTTACTGCCAGATCTACCTGTACAACGCATATCATGGCAACCTCTGACGTCTGCTTGGGCTAAATTTTCAGAGACATTGAAATCACTGCAGAATCTTTACAAACATGGAAAGGTGTGTGCCTGATATCTGTACGTATGTCCTCTGTTTCATCACAAACTGAAACTCTTCTAGGTAGTCTGCTAATTCCTCTTTTAAT